GTAGCTGCTATTAGGTGTTGTATTAGATACAATGGAAACCACACTTGCGTTCCCCATTCCTTATCCCCATCCTTCTGTCACACACACATGCATCCCAAGTGGTAGTTCTAATCATTGCTTCACTACCTCAACCCTAGAATCAGTCATAACTTATGTTTTCCTGTAATTTTTCTTGGGTTTCAAATGCTCTCACTGTAACTTGGTCTTCCTCCTGCACCGCACTGGGAGGTGTTGCGTCCATGGCTGGCTGGGTGCTGTAACTGGGCAGGCTAAGGAGAGGCAGGCCCAGCCACAAAGGACAGCTGAGTGGTGGTAATGTCAGCACTGGTTCTCTATAGGTGCCTGGGAAGAATGGATACTGCTGCAAATTGTTTTGAAGGAATTTGCAGGCTGGGATTAAAGAAACGCTGGCAGAAACGATGATTGGCATGCTGGCATGTCCACATGTCACCTACCAAGGAATTTTTTTTTTCCTGTAAGGCATACATTTCCAAACATCTTTTTTCTTCTTCACTGGTAGCAGTATCCCTGTAAGGAATGCTACTGCATGATTATCAAGGCACCATGAACATTGCTAAACACAACTTCGTATCCCAGCACAAGCATGGCCTATATCCCAACAAAGCCCTGCGTAAGTGTCATCTGCTTATTTGTAGAGGATGTACCTTTGCTGATTTATAGTAGAGGAAATGTATTGTACTTGAATATCTGTACTTGAATATCTGTACACAGGCTTTACCTTCAGGAGGTCCCGGTTGCCCTTGATGGGCTGCAGCTGCGATGTCCTTAATTGGGCTGCAGCTGTGACCAATGAAGATAACTGGGATAAAAGGGGGTGGGTTAGCCAGTCTGGGAGAGCCTTGGAGGAGCCCTGACCTGAGAGAGAACAGCATGCAGAAGAAGAAGGAGTCTGTGCAGTGAGGATCTGCGGCCACAAGAACACACCAAGGAGGTATGGACTTTAGAAATCTAACAACAATATGGGACTCTAGAAATAGGACAGCAGCACTGATTGACCAGCAATTGAGTTAGATACATGGGAGTTTTCTCAATATCTTTTATAAAGTTAAGTTTGTATCCTTGGCAAAAAACACCAGTGGTATGGTGAATTTGTTAATTAATTAATGTGATTTGATGACCCCATCAAATATCTGGTGCTCCACACCAAGAGGAAAACTGTGATGGCATCAGTTTGCAACCTGCCAGGAACACACAATTTCTGTTAATATTTGCTCATATTACACCTTTGTACTGTATCAGAAGAGTGTAATGTAGCCAGTGCAGGCAGACACTCCTTCCTTAAAGGAAGCTGACATGCCATCAAGTTCAGTGGTTTTTCTGTCACAGATCTCAACTGTATCCAGTAAAATCTAAGTAATTTAGTCAAAAGTGCTTTAAACAAAAAATGTTATATGAAATTTAGTAGACTAAATGTCAGAAAAATGAGTGTTATTTTCCATTATTTCTATTAATGTTTTAAATAGATTGACAATGAAATACTGAACTCCCTTAAAAATAAATTTAAAGTTACTCCTAGGTTTAGGATTGAGTTTTGTGTTGGTGAAGCAGAAGAAAGGGAACTTAGATCACTTTGTAGCCTTTTTTTTTTTATGAAACCCTGGAGTCTAAAAGAAGAAAACCAGTCTATGTAAAAGCATATCCTCTTTTTCCACTTTTCTGTGCAAATTCTTCTGGAGGAATACAAATTCTACTAGCCGAGTTCACATCTGAGTTTCTCAAACAGAAATGTTTGCTCACTTTCACAGTGAACAAAATTTTCTCTTGCTGACATAATTTTCTTACATACAACAAGGCAACTTGCTCGATGAGGCTGATATTTAAATTCTGATTGTAAACCATACCTTTTTTCTAATGTTCCTAGTTTCACTAAGTTTCAGATTATAACAGCATATTGAGAACATAAGCCATAAAAAGTAGCAGTGTTAAAAAGCAGATGCACTGGCTGAAGTAAGATCTTCTTTCTCTTAAATGACATGTGAGTAATCTGCATTCTTCAAAGAAAAATAACGTTGTCTTGTAAGGAGAAACTGTCAATGCAAGTACAGATAAGAAAATAAAAATAACTTAATATAGGAATAATTTAATAGGTAACAGACAAGAAAGAAGTAAATGTACCCTGGGGAATATGTAAATCATACTGACTAAAGTTATGCATCTGCATACTAACTTATATTTTGAGATCACAAAACTGAACTTAATATCCACTTCCTTATTGTTTTGCAGGTTAACTGGTATCATTGTATGAATTTGCAATTCCTTTTTCTGAGCTGCAGAACTATATTGTACTATACTAATTAGTAGTACCATGCAGGAACCTCACAGGGCTATTGTGCTTTAAGACTCATATTCAACATAACATTGAAATACCAATGATTTTCTTCTCCTGCAGTTTTGCTCAGATCATGCTCCCCTTGCTACTGGATCAGGAATTTAAAAGTTGCAATGCTCTTCCTTATTTTCCTGTTACAGCCTTCTTCCCTAATTCTCCACTAAAGCCTTAATCATTAAAATCAGTCTATGGTCCATCATTAAAATGGCTTGGCTTGCATTGAGAGCTCCAGCACTAGGAAAGGGAGTAAGTTATTTCAAGTAAAGTCAACTAAAGTAATTATTAAACACAACTTCCTGGTACCCAGCAACACTTTACTGCTTTCTGATGTTGTATGTTTTGTCTACAAATATCTTAGAATAAAATGCTTCAACTGTGCCACCCAGATTTAAGTTTGCAATGCTCATTTGGCTGTCACCACACTAAAATATACAGGTTTTACATCTGTTTTTACAAAGTAGACTTCATTACATGGTTCAGCAGAAAAGAAAGAACAGCTAACACTTATAGCAAAATTCTAGTATTTGAATATAAACTTTAAAGAAACCAAAAGGAAGCCCAGAAACCATAGTATTTGTTTTAGGTAATTTTGTTCAAAAGAAAAAAATAATAAGCAGTGTCATGTGAGCTGATGAAAAGCAGAACCACATAAGGAACCATGATTTAATCACCTTTCTTTCCCCATACCAAATATCTCACTGACATGTAACTGAAATTTCAGTATTACAAATAGTCTCATTTTGAAAGACAACTTGCGTCCATGTTTTAGTATGTGCTGCAATGCAAAACTGCTAATTCCCAATGCCTTTTTGACCGTCTCTTCTTTTACACAATCTTGTAATATTTTTTTAATCAATGCTTTAATAACAAAATTTTATAAAGCTGTGCAGTCCCAGGACAGCAAAAACATCTACCACCAGGCAGGGTTCTACCAGATACAGCTTTGAAAGGCTGATCAGATTTTTCCTCTAAAATAGGATGCATCATACAAGGTAATATGAATTACTGAAACAAGAATGCAAAAAGATGCACTGTATAATGCATTGCTTTTAAAATTCTAGAAATCAACAGTGTGTATATGCTGTTGGAATTTATTGTTGGAATAAATATGGTTGTATCTCCAAGGACAAGCTGAATCAATGGATTAAATGAATTATTTTATCATTTCTTAGTCACTCTAATTTTAACAAGCATTTCACATGCTTGTTAAAATTAGAGTGACTAAAGGAGATGCCAACTATTTAGAGTAGAATATTATCAAGTATTATGAGTATTAAATATTTTAACCTACACAAGTATAGGAAGAGTCAAAAATAAATAACAAGTACATTTATTACCAGTACCATACATGACATACAAGATGTACAAAGATGAAGCCCAGTATATTTTACCATAACAGTACTCCAACTAGTGCTACTGAACCTTATTTTGAGAGCAGAGAACCCCACCTGGGTTTTGGGCGTGTGGATATATCAGCATGCATCAGGCCAATCCCTTCAGTGTGCCTCCCTAGTGCTGTTACATTTACACCTTCTGACATGGAGAAATGTCTTACCTATTTGCTAAACCTCTGGCCTACAAAAAGCTGGGGAGCACATAACACTGTTAAAATTAACTGTAGTTGTGTCTTACACATGGTATGTGCCTCCTCACAGTCCCTAATGGAGAGCAGAGAAAGCCAACATTCATCTTGCTGATTATTTGATTATAGATGGATGACAGCACATGCACTCTGCACCGTGTTTGTTATTCACACTGGGGCTCCTTCAGGGCTCCAGTGTGTCCGAACCAGGCCGGGGGCTGACCTGCTGGGGAGCAGCTCTGCTGAGAAGGACTTGGCGGTCCTGGTGGACAACATGCTGTCCATGAGCCAGCAGTCTCCTTCTGACCACCAAGAATGCCAATGGTATCCTGGGGGGCATTAGGAAGAGCATGGCCAGCAGGTCATGGGAGGTGATCCTGCCCCTGTACTCAGCCCTGCTGAGGCTATACCTGCAGTGCTGGGTCCAGTTCTGGGCTCCTCGGGACACGAGAGACATGGAGCTCCTGGGTCCAACGGAGACCAAGAGGTGTGAGTAAAGGACAGCGTTTCTCTTACAAAGAAGGGCTGAGGGAGCTGGGCCTGGTCACACTCAAGAAGAAGAAACACCCCCTTGAGAAGAGAGGACCTCATCGGTGTCTAACAGCGTCTGAAAGAGGGTGTGAGACGGTGGAGCCAGGCTCCTCTCAGCAGCGCCAGGCTATAGGACAAGAGGCAACAGGCAGAAGTGGATAAAGTTCCACCTGAACGTGGGAAGAACTTTTACTGTGGAGGTGACTGAGCACTGGAACAGACTGCCCCGAGCGGGTGCCGAGTCTCCCACACTGGAGATGTTCAAGAACGGCCTGACACACGCCTGTACCATGTACCCTGCGCTGTCCCTGCTGGAGCAGGGCGCCGCCGCAGACACACCACCGCGACCCCTCGGACCAACATTCCCTTCACGGAGAGCACCCCGCCCCGCCCGGCTCCCCGAGCTGCGCCTGCGCAGAGCCCCGCGCGGGGGAGGTGCCCTTGGGGCCGAGGAGCGGCGGGGCGTGACGCCACCCGGTGACGTCACTCCGGTGACCCCACCCGAGCGACGTCAGGAGTGTGACGGCAGGGGGCGCCGGAGGTGGGGGTGGCTGGGCCGGGGCCGTCCACGCTTATGGAGGACGAGGACTGCCCAGACCTGGTCCCGATCGGCGGCGCGGAGCTGGCCGATGCTGGCCCCGACAGGAAGATCCCCGTGACGATCATCACGGGGTATTTGGGTGAGGAGCGGGAGCGACGCTCGGCAGGGACTGCATGCGGGCAGGGAAGGCCCGGGCGGGCCGGGTGAGCAGCGCGGAGCCAGGGCTGCCGGGCGGGCGGGGGCCTGCACCCCACGGGCCGGGTGAGCAGCGCGGGGCCCTCCGGCCGCTCCCGTCAGTTTGCAGGGCCACTCTGAGGAGAGGTGTAAGCACCTAAAGGGTTGCTGCTTCCACCACCCTGCTTTCAGGAGCCGCCTCGTGCAGGTCACGATTGACAAATGGCTCTTGGTCACTTAGCGTCAGAATAGTGCAACACATATGGCTCAGTTAAATGCAGACTGTGTTGCAGTCTGAAAAATGTGAGGTTCGGCGTTTTTCCCGTGATACACGCAGTTATGGACTGCAAGAGTCTGGTTAAATTTAGGATCTCAGTCACTGTGCTGAAAATTGTAACTTTGTACTGCATCACACTGTTGCAAAGAAAAATCTCTTAAGGACAAGTAAGGAAGGTTCCCTAGTTGTAGTGGTCACCTGCTTTGGGCTGGATGATCTCCAGAGATTCCCTCCAGCTTTGACAATTCTGTGATCTTGTGCATGGGATGAAACTGCTGCTAAAGCCCCTCTGAACACGTTTTGTAATACGTTTTATAACAATACCCCGTTTAAAGGCAGTTAGTAGCACATCGTGGTTACTCATGGCAGAACGGGTCAGAAGAGGCAGTAAAGAGGGAGAAGATTAAGTGTGCCTTCTGTTAAAAGAAGCATAAAAGTTAGTGTCGTAGGAGAAATCTGCCCAGCTAGTAGGGAGCTTGTAAGTTTATCAAGTACTGACACTTAATGAGTGGGAAAACTGTGAGTTATTTAAGGCTGCAATTTAATGTCCTGATAGTTCTATGAGTTGAAATATATCTACAAATTAATTTCTACATCATTAGAACAGAATGTAGGACATAAGAATGAAAACTTCTGTTTAGAAGAGAATTGCTTAAAGTGTGCATGCATAACAGTATTTAGCTTTTATTTGAAATGTTATGTTTTTTTTTAACATTTTAATAGAAATATGGTCTGTGTTCTAGGAGCTGGAAAAACAACTCTTCTAAATTACATACTGACAGAACAGCATAATAAAAGAATAGCAGTTATTCTGAATGAATTTGGAGAAGGTATGTAAACGTGCAGAAATCTTTCTTTTTGCCACAAAATGACAAGTACATAAAACTACTGGAAACCGAGACTGTTGTAACTTTAAATCCATTACTGAAATTATTAACATACCTCATAGTCTTCAGAAGGGCAGAAAGTCTTTTTGTTGGTTTTCATAAAATACTGACGTGCATTAATCTATTTTGCACATAAATGTAGGCCCTCAGAGTAAAGTAAATAAATACATCACCCTGTTGGAAGTGCTATACCACCATTTGTCTAACTCAGTTTCAAGCAAATGGAAATTGAAATAATATGTTGGTAGATGATATTTTTTAAAATTTCCTTTCCCCTCAGCTATTTGCAAATCGCAAATTATCATGGACCAAGAAAATGGGGAGATGTGTGCTTGATGGCTGTGGTTCTTTGAACTCTTTGCTTTCAGAACTTTTAATTGCTCTAGCTGTAATTTCATATCTGTACCATAGTCAGAAGCTTACATTGTTTACAGTTTATACTGTGTTGGTGGGGGGCTCTCTGTTTGTTTTCATCAATAAAGATGTGTGTAGCTTTTCTGTTCACAGAGCATAAAAGAAAATGTACACACAGAGCCTTTATTTGACAGGGAGGCACAGGCTGGCGTCCCTTTCTTTTAGCAAAGTTTGTGGCACTTATGATGTACCATCATCCAGTGGGGTTTGATCTTTGTGGAATGAGCTTTGTCTTGGCTTTTAAATTTCTCATAAAATAGAAAATACAAATTTCTTGAGAACATGTCAGAAACGTGGTCTCAGAAGAAAAGAATGTATCTCTCTCTTACAGGCGTAAATCTTGTCATGCAAGATTGTAGATTAAAAATATAGCACTACTTGTATTTTCAGGAAGTGCCTTGGAGAAATCTCTGGCAATCAGTCAAGGGGGAGAACTCTATGAAGAATGGCTGGAGCTCAGAAATGGCTGCTTGTGCTGTTCAGTAAAGTGAGTACAAGTTCTGTGCAAGTTCTTCCAGTGGATATTGTGGGGAATTGAGGAAGGGAGAAGACATCCAGGATTTGATTCCTGAAACTGATGGTAGAATTGATTGAGACTTCTTTTGTTGGATGAAACAATTGGAATTTGGGAGGTAGAAATTTATTTCCTATTGCTGTCTTGCTGGATTTGGACTTGGTGTCTTTCAGAAAAGTATTCTAAATACCAGTTTATACAGCATGGGGATGTTGTAGAGTAGGGATCTTTCCCTCTATTGTTAGTATAATGTGCTTTCATGTAGAGAGCTGAAGATTCAGGTAGGCTGGAACTAGGACTCAGGTTTCCCAATTTCCTCACAAAACGCTTAGTCTGCTTCTTTCTTTGTACATGGGTTACTACTTCAATATAGTATTCATCAAAAAGCATGAATGGAAAACCTTCTGTGACCTAATGAAACACAGTATCCAAATCTGTAAGCTGATGGTCATGGTAAAAAGCAAGAGAGTATTTGTTCCCTTGACATTTTCCCTTGACATTCCCTGTTTGTTGCAATGCTGAATTGTTTGTGCTAAGTTTGTAAATAAGGGTCATGGCCTGTTTGCCCTAAAAATTTGGGAGAACTGGTCTTATGCCTTAAATAGTAATAGGTAGTAAGTGGAAAACAGAGAATCTTATTGGATTCTGTTGTTCTGGGATGTAAGGAATGCTGTCTTAAGAGAAGCATAAAAGTTTTATATACATAGGTTGTTTTATTGTTTTTATATGCTGTTTTATATGCTGCTGTGTTTTATATACAATGATTTCTTTAAAAAATGCTATACATTTCTGCTTTAGGCTGACTTCATCAGCTCTAATTTAAGTAAATGGCGCAGTAATCTTGGTGTAGGTGAGGTAGAAAGGCAGGGCAGCATGCTTCACTTCTACCTCACCCCTTATTTCTGTAATATCAGCTGCCAAACCAAATAGTTCCATATCTACACAGCCCTACTGTCCTTTACAGGTTGTTCAGTGTTTGAAAACAAACCTGGTGGGTTAGGCAAATGCTATTTTTAGACTTAAATGAAGGAGAAAACTAAAATTTGCCTAATAATGTGCCAGCAGATAACTAAATTTTTGTTGCAGACTGTAAGTCTGCAAATGTCCTGTCTCAGAACTTTTGCTTTGATGATACTGACACTGTGTTCTGCATCAGAAGATACATTTAAATACATGCTTTAGCTTGTTTTCTCTGTTCTCAGGTTTAATTGTTTCTTCTTACAGGGACAATGGTGTGAAAGCAATTGAGAACCTGATGCAAAGGAGAGGAAAATTTGACTATATATTGTTAGAAACAACTGGTTTGGCAGATCCAGGTAGTTCACATTACAATTTTCATAACCATGATAATTATTCTGTTTTTATGAAGTGCTTATTTGCTCACCAGTTAGTTCACTTTGACAGTTGTAATATTAATGTGGTGAATTGTCAGGTGCCTTTGCTTGGGTGGTGGTACAAACTCCAGTGAATTGATTCAAGGTGCAGATATGACATTGTCTTCTTTGGTTGAGTTCTGTTTGTTGACCTTAGTTTAAATTGAATCTAAAGCTTAGTAGAAATCCAGCTAAAATATATTTCCATTTAGAGAAGACACTGGGCTTAGCAAAGAGAAGCATACTCTAAAACTAGTAGTTTTCAATACGCTTTTGATGTTCTACATTCCTCCTTTTAAATCTAAGTAGTTAGCATCTGTTGTATTGTTACACTGGTTGTGATAGGCCTTATATTTTGTGAAGTTGTAAAATATACTGTGAAACAGACTAGTACGTTCTTCTTAAAGAGCAATAAGAGATTTTACAAAATCCTTCTGTGCTCTTTAGTAGTATTTATTATAAAAAAGGTGTTTAAACTTGATCTCATTTTAGGAGAAAGGTGTTTAAACTTGATCTCACGTTAGCTATCCAAAACAGTTTTCTCTAAACCATCCACATTAAAAATCTGTTGTAGATGGAGAGGGAAGGAAAGTCTTATCAGAAATTCAATTGTTTCCCCTTTAGGAGACTGGTGCTTTCCAGCTCAAAGCTAAATAGTTGTCATTATAAAGTAATTTTCTTCAAAAGACAGGACATTGATTTTGCCTCTGTTACACACAAATTCTGTTTGAGTCAAATTGGAAAACTATTGAGCTTTTTGGAAAAAAATCAATAGATACCAGAAAACTATTTCATGTTGTGGTCCCTGCTATATCTTGCCTGAGTAAGCACTAGAACAGCTGACACGTATTTGGGTCTGATACAGAGTGGTGTTTGAAGGACTGCATCATATCACTTCAGGTGAACAGTTTTAGGTGTTGGAATGACTTTAGTCACTGATCTTATTGTTAGCACTGCAAATAGAGTTTTTCTATGAAATACCTCAGTGTTGGTAGTTTACTGGAAAAATCTCAATTTTGCAACTGTATATATACTACACTTCTTAGGAGCTGTGGCCTCCATGTTTTGGGTTGATTCTGAGCTGGGAAGTGACATCTATCTTGATGGTAAGTGCAAGCCTATTTTCCTGTGTATTGGCATTTCATATCTGGATTTAGAGTAATGTATTATTGGTGTTTTAGGGCAAGGTTTGAGAACATGTTTGAAATGTATGAACTTGGTTTTCACACTGGCAGATTTGATCACAGAGGTGTCCCTGCTTATTCTGATGCTTGTTTATTTACTTGGGGAGGTGCTCAGTCTTGCAAAAGCCAGCAAAAGTTGTTTAATACTTTTCTAAGGGATCAGATATGGACAGCTCTTGACAGTGATGTAAGGGGAAAATCTCATTAGCTAGAGGTTATAAAACCTCATTTAGGAGTAATATTACAGCATGCTTTTTTTCCCCTCTTTCTTCCTTCTTCCCCTTCTACTGAAATGCAGTGTTTTCTAAAAACTATTTTTCTGAATTCATAAATTGTCAACACCTGGATGTTTCTGCCTTTTGTTTTCTGCTTTCTTCACCTATTGTACTCATTGGCGCTAATATTTGCTGTGTTCTAATAAAAACCTGAGATTACTGAAAGATAAGTCATCACTATGTAGTTAAAGAGCAATTTTTTTAATGTAGGAAAAAAATTTACTTTTTGGCTTAAAAAATGCCCTAACATTTTGGTCAGTCTGTAAAATACCCATCTAACCAAGGAAGGAAACATTGAGTTCAATAAGAAGGAGCTTCTTGAGTTTCTGCCAGAGACTTGCAAATTCCTGGTCTTTTACCATCAGAATGGCTACATACATCAGTCAGTCCCTTAATTTGTTTCAATATTCTGTAAAAGCATACCTCAGCCAATTTCCTCTTGTGGAAGATGAGGCATCTACTTTGTAAGAATTTATTTCACCTGGTTCTGTAGACATTTTACTATGACAGATAAGACAATGAATAAAAAAATACTTAGGTAACAAGTTTATTGTTCACATAATTTCAGTGCTTCCAGTTTATTATAACTAGTTGTAAATTTGCTGATATTGTTACCTTTGTACAGGAGGTTTTCAAGTTGTTAAACTGTCAGCTGCATTTAGCACATTTCTATTCCATTTTAATGTTTTCTTTTAGGTATTGTGTCTGTTGTTGATGCAAAGCATGGATTGCAGGTAAGTTACTAGATTTGTTACATCGTTTAAAACTGCAGCATTAGAACAGCTATTGCAGTAATGTTCATGTGGATTAATTAATTTTAACAATAGCTGTAATTCTTAGATTGAATGAGGACAGGTGTTCTGGTACTGCTTCACATTAACATGATATATGGAAGCAGACAAAAAGAGCAGGTATTAGAGTAATCTGTATATAAAGTATAATGTAAGAACAGACATGTACAACAGTGAACTTAGGTCAGCAAAGATTGTGATTAATTCAAATAGTTCAGCTTTTTTTTTTTTTTTTTTTTTGGTAATAGGTGGGTGTAAATATAACTATTTGCAACTTAATAACTTAGGAGGTTACTGCTTTGATTGGGTATTGATTTTGCAGGATTAAAAAAAAAGTGACCATATGAAAAAAATGCCTTCATCATTTGAGAAATGCTGCTCACTTTTAAAATTTCAAAGGCTTATTAAACCTTAACAAAATACTACAAAAGGACTGAATAAGGAGAAAGACCTTAAGGGGGAAAGGGGGACTATGGGGAGAACAGAGGATGTCCAAACAACAAATCACAATAAGGTAACTCTACATTAATAGAACTTCTCTTACGTACACATAATATTCATCCTTTAATTGCAGGAGCCAGCCACTACATTACCCATCTATAATAATCATATAGAAATTTTATGCTGTGAAAGTGTTTGTAGTATTTCTGCATTTACAATGGCTGCAAATGGCTCAGAGAACTGAAGAATAATGGTTTAAGAATAAGAGAGTAGTTCTTCCCATAAGATTTTTTTTGTTTGGATTACTTGGGTTTCTCCTTTCATTTGTGCTTATCTGATAGCTGATTTACCAAAAGGGTAAATTTTGTAAAAAAACCAAGAAAGGATATCAGATTAGATTTAACAAAAGGGTAAATCAGGTTAGCAGTCCTGTCTTCTCATTAATTTGTCTTGGACTGGAACAGAACAAATGGAACCTCATAGCAATTTGGAAAGTTAAGTTCATTGTTTTCTACAAGAACTTTTGTGGAGAAGTTGGTAGAAGACTGAGGGGAAGGGGATGATTTGCCCTTCCAAGCAGTCACCATCTTCTAAATCACCTCAACTATCACAAGAAATCATAGCATGTTTTAGGTCAACCCCTTTTCAGCTGGGTTCCCTCATATTAATTCAGATGTGTTTTATATTATATATTGCTTGCAAAAATGTTGTTCTGTTTATCTTTTTCTTCATGCAGTGCTGAAATGTTGTCTCAGATGAAATATAATTGTGTTGCACACAGCAGCATTAAATTATTAATGAAAACGAGTTTTAAAATGCTAGACTTTCAAGTAATATAACAGAAACAACACAAAAATATTTTGAAACATTTAAATTTTCTATCTATTATTACCTTTGGCACCTCAATGAAAACATACATAATCTAATCAGTAAACCTGTAAAACACTGACATCTACACAGAATAGTAGGAACTTCAGACTTTCTTAGTTGTGTAATAAGTAAACTTTGGTATAGAAGGACTTGCTAACTTGTTTAGTTCCTCTGATTGCAAAGCCTGACCTCAACAGCTGCTTATTATTCAAATAACTTTGAAAGCCATACAGGTAATGGCATTGAGAGAATGTGCAGCAATTTAAGTATGTTATGCTTCAAAGAACCAACCCATCACAAGAAAAGCTGACAAACATCCCCTGTGACCAACCATACCACCATCCCCATGCTAATTGATACCATGGGTTATTGATCTAACAGGTTTGTCACACAGCAATCTGAAATACTAATTTCTTTAATTGAGGGTGAACAGTTGGACAGCTTGAAGTTGCAGTCCTCAACTTCCAGGACCTGACATCTGCACTACTGACATTTGATCTTTTCAGGGCAACAAACCTAAACAGTAATTGAACAGAATCAATACACAGAGGATTACAAAGAAGAGGTTAGAGGAGAGGTTCCTGAGAGTCATCTTGTTGTTATTCTCTGCTTAGGTTGTGCACAATCAGGAAATAGTTTTGTTTCTTTTTACATGATAGACTCACAGTATGCAATAACTTATTTTTGCTTTTCTACAAGTAAAATACTGTTAGATGCCTGATAATTAAAAAAAGTTTTCAAGGTTTTTAAAAAGCTGTATATTTCCCATGACAAATTGATTCCACTTTTAATTTGTTGTTTCTCTAACTGGAAACTGAGATTTTAAAGTAATATTCCTGGTAGATTTAGAGCTGATGAAGGAGTGCACAGGACTCTAACTTTACTAGAGATGTAAGCATAAGTGGCAAGTTCTTATTAATACTACAGCACCAGTTTGAAGTTTTTCTGTCTCCAGATGTCTGTGACATTTCTATCCTAGAGATTGCTACCTCCATGGCAGAGTGGGCAGAAAATAACTTGTAGCTAGACCTTTGCTGCTTCAGTGTAGTCTGTTGCTGTGACTAGGTAAAGTAAGCCTTTGTCTTGCTAAATGTTATGCTGCTGCTTGAGATGCAGGTATTTTTTTCCCTTTCACTAATTCTTCTGCAAAGACACTAGCTTGGGCAGACAAGTGGAGATGATACTGAAACTCCTGTAGCTTCCGACTTTGGACAGACATGCCAAAGAGGAGTGGTTTATCCATACAAACCTGAAAAAAGTTACCAGTTTTTACTATCAAAGTAGAGTTTGTCTTTGAGTCTTCAGAGGAAAAGAATGTGAAGTTACATATAAGAAAGCTGTATTGCAAGCCTAGCCTATGTTTTGTTAGTTAGTTGAGTTCACACTCCTTTGTAAAATAACTGAGCCTTAATTTTCTTCCAGATATATTTTTTCATTTTTACTGTGTTACGGTAACTTTTTTACTTCATTGTAAAGCTGAAAAGTAATTAAATATTATAAGGTTTTCCAACCCTTTAGCATTCTAATAATAAAATAAATTAGAAGAGTTTGCTTTAAGCTAATTATAAATCCATGTAATGATGAATATATAAATGTACTTTTTCACTATCATTTAACAGAAAGATTCTGGATACCATCTTCCTCAATGCTTTGTCAAAAAACAGACCTCAACTGAATTGGATTTGGCTTCTTTAATTGCAAATCAATTTAAATTTAATTTGAATATGTTTAATCCAATTCTTTTAATTTTTGTTTAGCACTTGACAGAGGAGAAACCAGAAGGCCTTATTAATGAAGCATCTCGGTATGGATGTAGAAATTAATTTTATATATCAAGTTGGGAATTGCACTGTATAAAAGTTCATTGGAAATGGGTTCTTTAAAATAGGGCTTTTTGCTCCTGCTTTGCTTAAACTGAGGTAGATTGGTGTAATGAGGTAAAATGTGGAAAAGTAACATCATGGTTCATTTGATCTTTCTGCCAAGAATGGACTGTTCTATTTTAATAGTGATGGGATTTTATTTAAGAATGAGAAGCACCCTTGTTGGGGGAATTAAAAGTTTCATGTTAGGATCTATCATGCTTGAAGCAGAACTGGAGATAGAAGAATACTTTTTAATAAATGTGGAGCCACAATAATTAAGGGTTATTGTAACAATTGAAGTCTTCATAAAGCAAAGAAACTTCAAGTATTGCATTACAAGGATCACATAAGGATATAATCTCACTGGCAAATAGGGATTTGTAAAGTTGTTAAATCACTAAGCACTTTGGATTAAATGACATAAAAAATCCAAACAAACAAACAAAACAACCCTGAAATAAAAGAATCTAGCAAGCCTTGATTTGATCTTTTAGGGCACAGAAGAACATATTGAGAAGTCAATAGTACTGTAATCATTCTCCATCATGTTCTAGTTTGATCAGTGCTTGCCCTTCTGTACTAACAATGTTCATACTACCTTTTGGGGCCATGGGGGAGATAATGTTTCTGCCTTACAGATAAAGTACTTGTTTGTTAGTGATGTCTTTTCCTCTCTTTTTTTTCTTAATACATAGGCAGGTTGCATTAGCTGATCTTATAATCATCAATAAAACAGATTTGGTTTCAGAAGAAGAATTGAATAAAGTCAGAACATCTGTGAGGTATGAAACTTTTGGCATAACTGTAACACTACTTCCTCAAAAATTAATTTAAACACAGTTACTTCTTTACTGCTGTTAAAATAGAAAGTGGATCTCATTATTAGATGGACAAAATTGATAAGCTTACAAGAGAAAAGAGACTGCCTCTTGGAAAGATACTTTAGTACTGCTATGTACTTACACAATCTTAGCATTTTGTCTATCTTGGTAAGGTTTGATGTTGTTTAGTAAGGACAGACCTTTTTCTTAAGTGTTTATGTTTTTACATTTCTGAGCAGCTGATGCCATTTTTTGAGAATTAGGAGAAGTGGAAAAAAATCTGCTGGTAAATATGAGTTCACTGGCAAATGGAAAGATATATGGAGAAAGTCCCAAACAATTGTCATGGAAGCAGATGAATCAATGGTCTGAATCAAATTAATGATCAAAGACATTACTCTTTTCTATCAATACCATGATAAGCCAAATGAAACATTAACATTTAAAATACTTATCAACTGTATTAAGTTTTTGAAATATGAAAATAAAAGTGCTTAGACTGAGCAGAGAATAGCTTTGGATAGGAAAATGCTGTTCTCACTGGTGGTATCTTGTTCTCAGAACTTGTGAAGTTCACCAGCTGTTAGTGGAAACCAAATATCTCAACCCATATCTGATAGTTATTTAACAAGCTGATAATGGAGTTGGGATGCTACTTCACATGATGCTGTCCATGGTTAACATATTCAAACAATATATCACAGTTATATTTTCATCTAACTAATGATTTTTCTGTTTTATTTTAGGTCAATAAATGGACTTGTTAAAATTCTAGAGACACAAAGATCAAGGTATTAAATGGCCACTATTACTAGGTACTAGATCCTGCTTCTTTTGTGTCAGTTTAAATCAGTTCTATTAAATCAGTTTTATTAAAGGAAAATTATTGAATTAGAAATAATTAATCCAATGTTTATTTTATGAATAAGCATCTAAAAATTTTTTTTTGAGGAAGTAAAAATGTATTTCTAATTTATATTTTTCTTCATTAGTGTTCATATCACAGAATACCAGAATGAGTGAGGTTGGAAGAGAGCACAGTGGGTCATCTTGTCCAACCCTCTTGCCAAGCAGGGTCATCCCAGAGCACATGGCACAGGATTGTGTCCTGATGGTTTTTGAATACCCCCCATGAAGGAGACCCCACAGCCTCTCTGGGCAATCTCTTCCAATCACCCACACAGTAAAGTACTTGCTCATGTTCAAGTGGAACTTACTGTGTGTCAGTTTCTGCCTGTTCCCTCTTGTCCTGTTGTCTGGCAGCACTGACAGCCTGATCCACCCTCTCTTCAGATACTTCTATACACTGAGAAGGTCCCCTCTCAGTCATCTTTTTGAGTCTGAACAGGCCCAGCTCCCTCAGCCTTTCCTCATCAGTGAAGTGCTTCAGTCCTTTAAACATCTTTGTTGCCCTCCCCTGGACTCCCTCCAGGAGCTCTGTGTCTTCCTGTGCTGAGGAGCCCAGAAATGGGCACAGAACTCCAGGTACAGGCTTACTAGAGCTGACTGGAGGGGCAGGATTGCCTTTCATGAACTGCTGGTAGTGCTCTTCCTAAGGCACCTCAGGACACCCTTGGCCTTCTTGGCCACAAAGATACACAGTCAACCAGCCTTGTGACTAAAGAGCAGTTTGCACAGCCAGGTTGGTTTTGAGCTAATAATTGGGTATGTGCACTACAGTGTTTTCCTTCAATTGTGTCACCTAAATTTTGTTCTCATTGCTGCTGCAAATAAGTTGTTACTACAAAATGACTTTGAAAGCAGTGGAAGGAAGTTACAAGAACAAAAAAAAAAAAAACCATCGCACTGGTTTTTGCTATTTTTAATTGAAATTCTGACTCAGATTTCTTCTTTAGTAAGGACTTAAATGGATTCTGTATTCCCAGGAGCATTAGGAGAGTAGTATATCTTCCAGACTGCTAGGACTGATTTGTGCACTTTTACATCAATTATTGTGGTCAGTGTTTGTAAAATAGAGGTTTTTGATTTAAGCAAATTTAAAGGGAAGGTAATAGTCATAATAAAGTATACTTGGCTTTTTAAAGTTGTTGTCAAATGTAGTTGGAAATTGTAGAGAAAAATACTTGCTGTTGTTGGGTGATCATATAGGACCAATTTTGAAGAAGATACTGAACTACATTATTTGTGTTTTAAATGTCCATTAGGGGGAGATCCAACATGTGATCTCTTTGCATATTTTTTGGTGTCTGATGCCAGCTAGCACTACGTTTTGGATATGGGATAAAGTGGACCTCAGATTCAGTCCTCAATGACAACTCTTTGTTACTTGTTAATATTCTTCTGCAAATGACACATACAGTCTCTTCCATTATTAAACATTCCAAATGTGAAATCAGCACAAAAGTAATTTATTGGCATGGTATGAGGACATCCCCTTCTTAAGAGGGGTTTGTCCCTCAAAAGCCCACATTTAAAAAGGGAGGGTTACTATGTGATTTTTTGGAACACTACTGAGAACAACTGACACTGAGCTGGTCATGAATTTTACATAGGAATTGTTTGTGTATTCCATTATAAGTCTGAAACTGCGTGGTACAACTACTGTTGAATGTAAAAGTTTAATGATTCTGGTTGTATTCCAGAGGTGGGGCTTTTTACTTGTCATGTTCTTTTTATTTAGCCCCATGTCATCAAGTGTATCTGAAAAGCTGTCAGTTGCTATTAGCAGTGAAATCTGTAGTCTGTATTGCTTTGTGAAGAAAAGTTTCTTACGCAAGTTTATAGGTAGCCATTCTTGTAAGCAGATATGATTGGTACTGCCTATTCTGAATTGCATTTTTTATTTGTCTGTTTCAAATTGTAGAGTTCAAATTCCTAGTGCTTCCCTCATAAAGTTGTTTCAGTTTTGTTTGCTAACAGTGTGTCAGTATAAGCTACATGTATTCTGGGGGTTTGTGTCTGTATTGAGAGGCTCAAGGTTCCTTTTCCCTTTCAGGGAAAATAATTTTTTATTCAGACATAATGAATAAGAGATTTTATCATACTTTTGGAAATACCTTGTATTTTACTGTATAACAGTAAAATTTTAAAAGTTTTGTTTCTGTGCTTACATGTTATTGTGTAACTAAACACAGAATTTTCTTGTAGAAGACAGTACCAACCACTGATATCCAAAAATAAGGCTAAGTATTAATGGCATTAGTCTTATAGACAAGAAAAGAAATATATGCTTCAGTAAACACCTTTAAAACATGACATTTAAATACATAAAAAATACAAAGCTTTCTTTTTTCCCCTCTCTTTAGAGTTGATCTCTCTAATGTCTTGGACCTGCATGCTTTTGACAGTTTATCTGGAGTAAGGTATGGTAATTTTCTTCTCTTCTATTAGAAAAAAATACCTGTGTATGAAACATACACACTGAAATCTTGGCTCAAATTTGCATCAGAGTTTCTCTTAGAATTTCTAGTTTAGTCCATCCTGTCTAGACCAGTACAGTCACATTTTAAAAATTACTGCTTTATAAGTGGTAATATTAGATAGAATTTCTTTCTTCTTCAAATGCCTGCAAAAACCTTTTTGACCTTAAAAAGTTAAATGAGCCAGAGTTTGTGTGGTTGGTTGGGTTTTTCCCCAAAATGCAGGTTTTGGTTTAGTATCAGAGTAGATTTGTACACTTCTCTGGTTCTTTTAAAGTATTTCAAAATTTTTTCTCCTTTGTATTGTGATGAAATGGAGGCATCTGTAGATTTCACACAAAAGAATGAGGGACTGAGGTTCCACAGCAAACAAAGGTTCTACAAATCCTGCTAACTATGTTTGTTATTCCTGGGGGTTTTAAATGCTGAATGCATGATTCAGCATCCTGGATGGGTGCAGGAGTAAAATGGGAAGGAAGGGGGAAAGGTCTTTTTGTTCATTGTGAGCAGAAAGACCTGAAGAACAGCAAAGGGAGTGAGGAGTACTGGAGCAATCATAAAGTAAAGGAGGGAAAAGGAGGGTAATATCAGCTTCATTCTTCTGTAGGGAGAAATTGCAGGACATGCAAATTAGTAACATCTATTAGATAACATGTGCTTGTGAGATTTCCCTCTGAACTGGTACAGTACTATCAAAATGATAGGTTTTGTCTTGTTTTGCTGGCACTGGCTTTGTCTAATCAGTGAAATACTGTAGTGTTTGTTTCAAGATTTCTACCAATGGCAGCATCAGCGAAATACCAAACTAGGCATCCAAAACAAAGTTAAGGGAGGAAGGAGACCGGTATATCCTTTAGAGGCAATAGATAACTATTAGTTTGTAAGCCAGATCATAAATCCATGTTCCAAGTTCTTATAATGGATCAGCTAACTGCATTGACTCATCCTGGAGCCACACAGCAGAGATAAAGCAGTAAAAAGATGTGAACCAGAAAAAGATTGTTCCTGTTAACAGCAGTTCACAGTTAGATCTGATTACTTGTAATATTAGGATGTGTTCTGTGAAGTTTACTAGTTTGCTGCACTCCACAGATCTGAGAAAGTTCTTAAGGAACTGACAAAAAAAATCTTTATTGCTTTCCTCAATCTAGTGTTCTCTCTTATCCCACTCAGTTACTTTGAGCTTCTCAATATTTGGTATTAAAACAGAGGAAGGACTTTAAAACATTTGTCAGCATTTAAAGACAAATTCTAAATTACCAAGAAGATTGTAGACTACTTAAATAAAGTTCAGTTTATTTTCTTTATGTTTGAACTCAGCACAGCAAAATTGCTTACCCTGTTTCTAGTTCCTAGACACAGAAATTCTTACATAAAATATTAGTGGTGGTTTCAGTGCCATCACCTGAGTAGAAAGAAAAACTTTGCATCCAACACCACTTGAACACAAATACACACCAAGACATAAATAATTTTTTTCTTTTAATGGCACACTGCAGGAAGGATTTCTGTCAGCAGACAGATACGTCATCTGTTTGGTGTGACTGTGTGATAGAGCCTTGTAGTCTGGATATACCCTGAAGTCACAGGAAGCACATCATGAATTCTGGATTCTGTGAAGGGGAGTATGAGAATAAGACAGCAAAGCAAAGGAAGTAGGAGAAGTAGGAATGTGAAATATTACTTCTGTAGCAGATAGTGCCTTTTTTCCCCACCATAAAGGCTTCTTAAAATTTTGCAGTCATCAAATTAGGAGGAGGGATTTTAATGGGCAATTTTCTCTAAAGTGGCAGAGGGCATCATAGTAACTTGTGCTACAGTATTTTTTCTCTGTATGTTATTCACAACATAGAGAGAAAACAGAAACTGTACAGAAGATGGTATTTGAAGAAATTTTGTGCTATCTTGATTAACTGAGACAGATGTGCATGTGAAATCTAAAGTTGCAATACAATTTTCACACGAAAAGATGCAGTAAGACCCTAAATATTAGTTTACAAAAGAGGTTCCCAAGTAGAGCTTGAACTTAGGGTCTTATTGAGTAGAGAGTATCTGTTTTAAGTTAGCAGGCACACTGCATAGTACAAGTGAGCTGTACAGCTGAGAAGTGGAAGCTGGTATACAGTATTTCAATAAGTGTTACAGATTTTGTTCTCTCCAGCAACAGCCTTGTACATTCTTTTCTTCTTGATTTTCAAATAATTGTAAAGTTTTTTTTAAAAATGAACATCTATTAACTTGATAAATTCTAGCGGTTTATTTGTTCTTGCTTGTTCTAATGATGTAGTTTGCCTTTTTTGCAGAAAGGAGTATCAAGAGTCTTGTGTTCATTGAAGTATAAATGTTTTTAATGCTGAAGATACTGCAAATCAGCACTATAATTCTCTTTATGTTTTAAAAAGCATAATTTTCTAACACAAACAACTATCAAACAAATATAGTTAAACATTTCTATTTTGAGATTCAAAATTAATTAACTGTTGAATTAATTATTTCAGTGCACTATATATTATTCTGAATATATAGTCTATCTCTGATATTTCAGCTTTGCTCCGCAATACTGGAATTTTTAAAATTTTGAAATAATGACGTTTTGCCAATCCTACTCAAATGCAACATTTAACTTCACTTATTTTCAGTTTGCAGAAAAAACTTGAGCATGTAAAGACAACACATGCACATCTAGATAAGGTAATTACCAAAAATACTGCTTTGATGTTTTTGCAACAACAGGGCTGTTCAATATTGCATGCTAATTTTGTTACTGTTTCAGAAGGTTTCAGTTAGGGAGTAATGTGTTCTAAGGTATTTGGAAGATGACCTAGATTACACAAAAGGAATGTGCTTTATTGTAGATAGATTCTAAATGACTATATTAAGTCTCACTTTTAAAAATAGCTTATAGGCTTTCAGTCAGTCATATCATTTGTTGATTCACATGGAGAGTATTACTGAACCAAATAGAACCACTTTTTTTTTAGGTATTTGCAGAAACAAGTCCTAAATTTGTAGCCAGTCTGTCCTATAGGTTTTCTATCCAAAACAAAATCTCTCTAGTTGAATTGTGGGTCACAGTCCTCCTTGGGGTGTCCATAGGTGGGTGGAGTTCACCCATAGGCTACGAGTCCCCTAAGAAAATGCAAAAAAGTAAAAACTTCTAATTTTTAAGGTGTTTTGGAAAAGAAGTGAACTTTCTGCAGAAGGTCTCTATAATTAAATTGATTTTTTGGGTTAAAATATGATGCATGCAATGCCTGTATTTTTATTTTTAAACTGCATAATTTAACTGTGAAGTTGCTAGTCTTGGAAACAGGAAAAGGCAATAATAAATTATTTTGGAACTACAGATTAAATGCAAAATCAGTTCATGCTTAATTATAATTACAATGAAAATACTGATGGTTTTTGCTTAATCAAAATTCTTAAATATGCTCAGTTATAGAATCTTAATAGATCCCTAAAGTAGATGGAAATGTTAAGTAGAATCCTTCTTGAATGTTATGAGTTATAGTATCCTTGTGTGTATTATTAAGGAGATTATTGTTAGTTTTGTAGTGTGTAGCCATTCGACAGAATTCATTGTTAGTATCTGTGTTTAGTTTAACACCCACATATTTAAGATGATTGTTGAGACATTTGAGGCATAATGAGGGCAGAACACTTCTCACAGTAGGCTGCAAGTCCTTGTTGTAAGACAAAGTGTGCTTATTATCTTCATGTTGAAGGTCAGCAGAAACAAACTGCACTGTGCTTGGAGCACAGTGAACTTTGGTCTGACGTGTTTTGAAGCTGCTCAGAGTGTTAGCTCTTGATTGTTTAGATAAGTTTACTTGGTCATTAGACAAACATTTGCTGCTTGTTGCTTTAATTTTTTTTTTCCTTAAGTTTAGACTAGTCATCAGAAGGTAGTTGTTGGAAAGCATTACAGGAAGTAATTCTCTCTCTGTTCTTCCAAACCATTGAGCAGTTATAGTGACAAAAATAAGACATTATTTAGTCTTTGAATAAATTTTTAATTTTAAAATATATGTTTTATTTTTATATTTTCTTTTGGTAATTGATCCTGAGGAGTTAGCTGGCAGTCGCTTTAGCACAGAACTTAACTTCATACATCTTGATTTTCTGACTCTATTCCTATACAGTCTGTTTATAAACAGCTTTTTTTATAAGGCAAGTACAGATTGTCTTTTATGAAAATTATGTTGATTATTTTTTGTCTGATAGTATTGTCATTAAGATCAGTAAGCCAAAAAAATAGTATTGTTAACCATATTTGAAAGCTTGATCATAATAGTCTCTACAGCAAAGAATTACATGGCAGCAGCTAATGGCACTAAACTGTTCAAGGCATTGTATCTGCCCTATAAGTGCACACCCAAACAGAAACAAAAAGTAGAGCTTAATTTAGAAAATTAGAGCAGAACAGAAATAGAGGTTTGGATTTTTTTTTTAATTTGATGTTGTCGTATACTTGCCTTTTTATGAGGCCAAGTTATAAAGAACACTTTTTGAAATTACTGTTACGGGATGTTTATTCAGTGTGGTAATAAGCATATCTTGCCTTTTGCAGGCTATAATTACAGTAACATTTGAAGTTTCAGGAAATATAAAAGAAGAAAACTTAAATCTCTTTATTCAGGTAAGTAATACATCACTGTCAACTCAAAAAATCATTGTAGCTTTTTATAGAAACTCATCTCATGCCACTTCGTTTATGGAAATAACTTTTTCTTTTTATAGAATCTTCTGTGGGAGAAGAATGTGAAAGATAAGACTGGATGCACCATGGATGTCATAAGACTGAAGGTTAGTCAGAAATTATCAGTTTCTTTGTTTTGTGTTTTTTGTCTTTACACCTAAAAAACTGCATTGTGCTGTCAGTTATGGACCTATCAGAGGTGCTGCTGATCACTGTAGCAGATGATATGGAGAGTAGCAAGTTGTCATTCCATGAATGACTCAGAATGAGAGAGCTGGCAGAGGAGCAAACATTGATCTTACTTGTTTTAAATGGGGAGGGCAGATGTACAGTCCCCAAACATCAGTGGCAGGGTTAAAAATCAAACCATAGTTAAATCACTTTTAATTTTCTACCTCCATTGCTTTGAGAGATACTATTCATCTCCATATCTAGGGTTGGGATACTGTAGATTGGATCCTATAGATTGCTAGGTGTACTTAAAATTGTTGCCATAATATGCAGAAATTCAGTTTGGCGTAACATAGGAATGCAATAGTAGTTGTGGTCTACAATTAACAAGTTTTTACAGTATTGTCAGGCTGTTGTTTTGAAGATACAGCTCATAAGTATTCATCTTCATGGGCACTTATATGTTCTTCACTTGCTTGGTTTGGAGAAGAGTAGAGGTGACAATTCAGGATCTACTTTCATTTACCTTATACCAAGCAGCCAAGTAAATGATCAAAAAATAAGAATCCAGTCAGTCATTTGTCAGGCTGTAAGAAATATAAGAAAGTAAAGCTCTGGTTTGTTTCCTGAGAACCCTTGACCATCATAGATAGAAACATAATTATTCTAGTTTTATAGGAAGGAAAGTTGTTTTCTTGCTTTCTCAGCAACAAAATTAGACTATCCTGGTCTTCTCCTTCCTGACAAATAGAAGAGAGTAGCCACTGATGTATCTGAAGCTGCCTGAAAAGCAGTAATGCCATGCACAAGCTTGTTTTTGGTGTATTGAGCACTGGAATCAAATTAATCCTTTATGAGATGTGAAGCCTGTGTAAGATGTGTGCTCTCCCTCAGTTACAGACAAATACACCAAAGCAAATGAACCTCAGGCAACTAATTACAGAACAGGTTCCAAAGTTTATTGCTTTTATATTTATATTATATCTGCAGTCATAGCCCTTTTGGCAGTAATAGTCATAGAATTCCAACTAATAGGTCAAATGGAGGCCTATTTTATGAAATATTTTAAACTTTCTTTAGGGAAGTGTCCTGGTTTAGGGCAAATTCTGGGAGGAACTTCCAGGATGTACAAGACATGTTTTACAGAATGTGTTCCACTAAAATATTTTAGAACATTGTGCTATGAAGTGATGAAAACTGTTTAATAGAGCTTTTGATATGTGAGTTAATGGACTCATGCTGACTGTTATCTTTTCTAATTCTGTTGCTAGTTGTTCTACTTCACAGATGTTTATTCTTTCCCCAATATTCAGAGATGCTGTTTCAGGAAAGTAAATATACTGAGTATAAGAGCTTAATTGGACCAATCTGAAATCAGACATTTTTGTTCATTTTACATCATTTTGTTGGCAGGCAGGCTTTCATGGACTCCCATGTCAAACACCATTATGCATTCAAAGAGGCATAGTAGATGATGACATTTAATTTTTGCTTGGGCAGGCTAGGTACTGACAAATGAGGAACAGAATGAGGAACAGAAGGCAAAGTATGGTAAAATGTAATTCTTAGCCTTTAACAAAATAAGGAGATGTGAAAATGTTATGAGTAGATGTGTTGATTGATAATATATGTTTATTTTGACTAAGAAGTTCACAGGTGCCAGAAGTACTACTCCCTGCTTGAACTAGATTGGAAGTTTTGTTTCCCCTCTTACATATTTTATTTTTAAAGTTTTGTTTATATACCCTAACAGTTATTTTTCTGATAAGGGACTGGTATCTATTCAAGGCAAATCTCATCAAGTGATAGTCCAAGGTGTCCATGAGCTCTATGACCTAGAAGAGACTTCAGTACCCTGGAAAGAAGATGAAAAGAGAACAAACAGGCTGGTCCTAATTGGTAAGAGGAAATTACGCATCTCCTTCTTTGAGTTTAAAAAGCTGTTTTCTCATAGACGGTCTCACAGACTTGACCAGGGAAAAGCAATCAGGCTAAACTGGCCAGAATTAGTGCAGTAAGTTTGTTCAACTTAACCCTCTTTTTAAGGCTTATCCATCAAAACCTCCTGAAGTTCAAAATTGCAGCTGAGAGGAGTCTACATTATCCCTATTAGTGCCACCAAAATCAAACCAAATCAATAAAATACTAAGCTTTCATAAATTATGTTGGCATATTTAATCTTGTTTCTAAAATCTGTAATTATAAATTGGGTGATGGGAATAGTTTGAATGTTTGATCAAATATTAGTAACTGTAAGGAAGGTTATTATAGCTTTGAAATGTTTAAAATCAGTTTTGTTTCTAAAAATCTTGCAGTGCTGAGGTTCTGTGCTTCTATTTTCTGTGTATTTGTTTGCTGTGCAAAGTGTTTTATTACCAAAAATAACCTATTTTTTCCCTTTCCCTTATTTGTGCTTGAAGTCTGTTGTTGCCTTAATTTTAATACTGCAATTGTCACTGATTGATATAATAAACACTTCCTTAGGATAGAAGAAGCTACTTGTATGTGTTTTAATGCACTGTAAAATACAGTTAGATATTTTATTTCTCTTTACAGGCAGGAACCTGAATAAGGAGATCATCAAAGAAGTATTCATAGCCACTGTGAGAGAAGAACGAGGAAACAGTTGACATAAAACTATAAAAAAGATTAAATGTCTGTTTTAATCCTGCAAGGATTTTATGGCAGAAAAGACTGAATGGCATGGGCTATAGTAGTTTCTATATCCTCTTGCAGTTCATGCAACAGTTGAACCCTGAAGTCTTCCTAAGAATTCCAGCTGACCTACTGCTTTAAGATTAGCTCTTATGGTCTAGAATCAAACACAATTCTCCTATTTTGGATTCGGCTGAAGCTGTGTCAGCAACATATGTAACTGTGCAGAAATGGGGACAGACTGTTATGTTCTATGTGAAGTGTTACTGTAGGGATATGGGAAACGTGTTTGAAGCCTAGTGCTTTCTCTTCCTAACGCTGTTCCACTGGGAATGAAGCAATAGTGATTATTGCCAGTGATATAATCCCAGTACAAAATGTTTAGTGTTTACTAGTAAAGTGTCTTCCATCTCTTTCCACTTGCTTTGTGATTTTTGAGTGTATGCACCCATCCCAGGTACTGTTCTACCTGTAAACCTGTTGTGTAATGAAACTAAAAATACACAGGTAGCAGAGGCACAAGATCACATGGAGTAAATGCTTTCTACACAAAAGCTGTGCATGCAGTGTTTGGTCACATAGTCAGCAGTTTGAAAGAGGTAGCTGAACTCTTCAATCTTATAGGCCATCACCCTGCCAGTTCAGGATCTGGGGAGCTGGGGACTGCACCTTTCCACTATGTTCAGGCTGCTCTGCATGATTTCTAATGGGGTTCTGTGACACTACTTTGAAAACCTAGTCTGAAGCTTTTATCTCTCTGCTAATCACAATTTAGAGTTGAACTTCTTGCCCTGTACATTCTCCAGTACTCTTTGTTCACCTCTTAGCTTTAGAGGGATACTTTGACTTACAGCTGTGTGAAAGCAAAATAAGTCAATGCAGGAAGATAATGTAGAATTAAAAATGTTTGCAAATGAAATTCTAGGACATACAGTTCTGAAGGATGGACTTTTAGCTATAGTGCTTGCTGTGGATGCTAGGTGATGTGTCTGAATAAGCAGAAACTTGTCTCACACCTAACATTAAAAAGAAAAGAAAGAAAGCCATTCCCTCAGTCTCTCCTTCAGGCAGTATCAGCAGTCTCAATTTTTTTTCACTTTGCTTCTACTGCAGCATATGAGTTTGGAATTCGTTTTCAAAAGAGCTGAGGATGAAGACATTAATCTTTCACTGCCCGAGCTGGTGTCTCAATTGATTAAAATAAGTAATGTATCTTAGCTAACATAGAACTCTTTACTCTTCCAGTAGATACATCGGCAGGCATGACTGCATTCCTCACGTTAGAAATAGCTTTAGATAGCTTGAAGTAGTTTTCAGGACTTATTTTTTTCTCTAAAGCAAGGTCTAAAGAGAGAACAATCTGCTTACACAATGTTGCTTTCTGTTTAGCAGACCTTGGTGGCACCTGAATGAACTGGTATAGCTGAGGGACACTGTTTCCCTTAGCAGTTAGAACTCTTCATTTTTAAAACTAGTATATGTTCTCACACTGTTTTGGACTGCATAAATGACACACAGTCCTGCATGAGAATTTGTCAAATGATTGCCATCACTGTTATTCATTGAGTATTAAGATCACATACATTTAAATTTGTGGATAATATGTGTATAATTTTTAGTGCTTTTGCTTCCATTTGTCACAGGAAAAGTGATCAAAATACCTGTAATGTAGGAACTCTGTTCTCTTTAAAGCAATTAATCTCTGAAGTGTTGCTAACTTTCGATTTGAAAAAAAATTCAGAGACCTAATAAAAGGAGCTTCAACCATGAGTCATAAGGGAAAAAGGCATGGATGGCTTACATAGTCATTTTTGGATGCTTATTTTTAAATATTTGTTCACCCACCACACACTCCACCACATGCTAAAATTTCCATGATGACTGTCAATATGCTGGGGCTTTTGTTGCTGCAGAGGGGCATTTCTGCAGTTGGAAGTATAAGCTCTGCACTCTGTATAGCTCATGTTGGTACCACTTACCCTTTCTTGCTAGGACTTCCCTGCACTGCTTACAATGCTCATGTCAGACACTCTAGTCAGTATGCACCTCATGTCTGCTTGTCTTCTGTAAACTGCCTGCATATTTCAAGGCATTCCTTGGGATGGAGAGCAAGCGGCTCCTCAGCAGGGGTGGAGTTTGTACTCCTCTTGCTGGCTGTCAGGATGTCCCAGTGCTTTGTCGTCTATTCTGTTCACACATAATGACACTGGAAAAATGCCAAGCACCTCATCTTTATCCCCATCTCCCAAGAAGACCACTGGTTACATTTCTTGGTTATTTATTTAACCAATATTTTCTCATCTGTTCTTACATGCACAGGCTGGGGTGCTATGTCTTGTCTTTGCATCATGCCAGAACCAAAAGAAAAGGAAAGGTAATGACAGCTCTGTAAAAGCTGTGTAATTACTATAATTGTGTTACTGGGAGCTATGTTGAGGATGGCCTTCTCCAAGGAGCTACAATTGGGCTGAAGTGAGGTTGTGTGGGAGGGTGAAATGGACAGGCAGACACCACTCAGCCCTGTCTTGGGGTTGTGGTATGTGGATGGTGGGGCAGCCAGGGATGCTCAGGTTGAGGTGAGGAGGGATCTGGTGAAGACAAACATTAGCAGTTCTTCCTGTGCAAGTTCCAACAGGGGCACAGCCGCACCTGAAGAAATGATGGCTGTCTAGACCTGGCCTTACTTCCCAGCCAGATAGCTCACACTAATGGTGCTTCAGTCCCTCCACCAAGAGCACAAAACTAGATAGAAAGTGATCTTGTCAACAAATCCCACACATTTCGTTCCCTAGCAGAGGCTGAGGAGTTTCTGTCCTAGAGGGAAATTGCAATGATTTGATCATTGTGCCTTCATGAATGTCAGACATCTACAGAAATAGACTTTACAAAGCAGCATTTTTCCCCACGGTATGCTTTCCACATGTTTTTAGGAGCTCCGTTAAACTTTAACAAAAATTATATCCTTACACTCTTGTGCCATTTGTTTATATCACCTGTTAGGTTTAATCTTCAGGAATTACCTGGGAAGATGAAGGGATGATCACAGTTTAATTTATTATGCCCTTTAAAATTTAGGCCGTTCTGAATTTGGTAGTATTTTACTAGATTCTTACTTTTTAATCCTTATGTATAACTCCCACCTGCTGGAGCATGGAACGTGTTTTCCATGTTCCATTCCAACTCCTGTAGTCAGGATGTGACCAGAGGGGACACAGGATGGATAGGTTTGTGTTCCCAGCCACCTGCTGTCCTTGTGAGCCACCCTGTTTCTCTACTGCCATCATCAGCCCAGCTGCCCTGCAGAGCTCACAGCAACGGCATCTGCCTCTCCTTGTGGGGCATTTCCTCTGCTACCAGGAACATTGGCCCAAACAGTGTCCATTTTTTGTTACTCCTCCCTCAGTCCACATGAGCAACCATGATTTGCTCATCCTGCACTGCTCTACAGCTTCACATCGCTTCCAGATTTGTTATATAAATTGCATATATATTATATACACTAAATACATATCCAGGTCTGCATGGTTTTAACTGATTGTAGGTGAATTGTTTATAGCAGTGGGATTCCAGTGCTAGGCCTGTGCTGCATTTCTTATCACCCCTAATGCCTGTACTCCTCTACAACACTTGTCTCCACTTCTCAAGGCCACTGATACTGTATCAGTCATGTTTCCCTATGCTTCATCCTCACATTAAAGCCATAAATATCTCATCCTACACAGAATGGCAGCTTGTAACTACTAGCTGTAAAAACACTAGCTGTAACATCCAAGGATAAAAAAGTAAAACAAATTAGCAATTTACATCTGGCCAGTTAGAGATACTGACGTCACAAATAAATTGAAGTAATCAGAGCTTCAGGTGGGTCAGGAAAAGATTGGCCAGACCAAGTGTGGCAAACCTCAGCCCTGAGGTGCTGCACATGCAGAGCAAAGCCTGTTACTGGCAGTGACAGTGGCATCCTGCAGGATGACAAGGCTACATTCCCATCCCAGTGCCCTACACATAGTCCTTTGCTCTTCCAGCCGTGTACATGCAGGCAAAGGGAACAAAGAGGAAATCCGAGTCTGGCTATGGCCAGCAGCTTCACAGAGACACCAGGGCTCCAGTGCACCTTGGCCTCAGTCCCACATACACCAACATCCACAGAAATTTTCAGAAAAGAGTGCAGCTGTAACAGATCAAGCGTCGAGCATGCTAGGATGTGTATTGCCCATCGAGAAATGAGTAAAGCACTTGTAACTTGAATTTACTTTAAAATATTGGTCTAAATTGTGGTTTCATTGTAGTGCTTCCAGTCTTTGAGTAGAATGGACTTACTAATCTTACTGTCCTCACTTAGCTAGTCTGAAATACCTACTAATTTCACATTGCTCTCTTAATAGGATTCAAATTTGTTGCATCTCTTTCAGTTTAATAATTTCAATTGACAAGCACAATTAATTTGTTATTTGGTTTCTTTATTGATTTCTCTGTACTGTTCTTGAAATGTTCAAGCTTCTTTTTTATCAAAATAAGCAGTTAATAATAATCTTATACTGTTAAAATTGGTATTTTTTTTCACTCAATAATTTCACTTAAATGCAACAGTAAAGGCTACATTTCTATGTCTTGACCAGTGCAGAATTTTGTTTTAATTAACAAGAGGCTGGTGAGAACCATGGCATTGAATCTCATAAAGTTTATTCAAAACCCCTACATATATACTACAATTGCCTGCTAGCAATATATAACAACATAATGGCATTATAATGTTACAACAAGATGAAAGGGCCTGGTTGTTGTAAACTGATATGGCTACCATCAATGTACTGGGGACTACCTGATCAAAGGCTTGACATTCCTATGACATTTAAGCTGTTCTTTCCAGGAGGTTTCAAACATAACCAGAGAATCACAGAATCATAAAACAGTTTGGTTCGGATGGGATCTTTAAAGGTCATCTAGTGCAACCCCTGCACTGAGCAGGGACATCTTCAACTAGATCGGTTTGCTTATAAATCACAGCCTGAATAAAAAAAACTTTTTAAATCATAATGTTTTTATTTGCCTCTTGGTAAATGTTCTACTACTTTTTCTCAAACAAAGCCTGTGAGATCAGTGTCTCTCTTAGAGGACCTGGAGGAAGGTGGGTAAAAATGAAAACTGACACAGTTGCTAGAGTTCTGGTTTGCAAACAGGAATATCAGAAAGTCATATCTCAGAGGACAATTCAAAAGCAGCATATTACTTGAACTGAAATAAAGACTTTACTATCCAATAAGTAAGAAAATTTTACTTGGTGAAGAACTCTGCTGTTGTTTCCAGAGGAAACCGAATTTGTTCCAAAAGAGGATTTATCCCAGCCACTCCACTTTGTTTTTCCCTTCTAGTAGCCGATCTACTCACAGGTAGGAAAAGTCACATTAAACGAGTGTTT